AGGGGCGGGCGGAGGGGCCCCGCCTCCATCACAGCCAATCAGCTTCGACGAGGTGGGGGTGTGGGGCTGCGGGGGAGGTGGGGGGGCTGATCCACTATGGAGGGGATGCCGGATCACCCCACCTGCGGGTGGGGGGAGGGGGGGGTTGCAGAGTGGTCCGGGTTGATCGATTGGAGGAGGTTGGGTGGGGGGGGTGGTCTAAGCCGAACCCTTTTGAGGGACTGCGGACTGTACCAATGTTGTGGTGGGGGGGGATAAAAGAGGGCTGGGCTGTACCCACAGGGGTGGTTTTGGGGGGGGCCCCGCCCCGGCCCGCCCCGCGGCCGCCCAAGGACGTTTAAAGGACCGACGGGGGCTGCTGCTCTGCAACACCAACAGCTGCGATTGTGCCCTGACACCCCTGCCCCCCCCCTCCCCGCTTCCCACGCCCCAGGGACCCCGCCCTCCCCTTCCTTCCCCCACCTCCCATCGCCATCGCCCCTCACCCCCCAATTGGGCCGTGCGGGGGGGCCCGGACCCCGCAGCCCCACACAATGGTGACGGTAGGAACGAATTATGGCGGGTGTGTGGTGGGGTGGGGGGGGGGGGGGGGGGGGGGGAACGGTTTCGGGTTCCCCCGCCGCATCCTTCCCCCCCTCCCCCCCCCCCAGCTTTCCTTCCCTGCATCCCCTCCCATCAGTATCCTGTACCCCTCCAGCCTTCCCCATGGACCCCACCCTCATCCATCCACCCCATCCCCAATCTTTCCCCCCCCTTTTACCTGCAGTTACCATCGCTGGGTCACCCCCACCTCATGTCCCTGTGCTCTCTGCATCTCAGCCCCCCCCATCATAATGTCGCTCTGTGACATGCTTGGTCAGGAATGGGAATGTTATGTATGTGCTTGCCATTAGTGGGGCACATATGTGTACAACAGGGCCTCACATGTGCCCTGTGTACGGGACACGTGTGGAGCTGTGGGTGCACAGTGTATGTGCAGGGCTGTGCATGGGTGTGGGAATGAATGCGTGCAACCTGCCCCCATTTTCTCAGTCCCATTTGCCCATTTTCACCTTTTCTTTACTTACTTTTCTCACTGGATTGCTTCCTGTGTCTCCCCCCCTCCCCCAGCTCGTGGCTGGTGGCTCCGGGTACCCCATCCCTACAAAGGATGGCCCTACAAAAGGCTATTGTCCCCTGCCCTGTGTGACAGGCAAGGCGGGCGGGGGGAGGGCTCCAGAACAAAGGGGTATTATCTCCAGGGTGGCTGTTGTCCCATCGTCCCCACATCCCCACCATTGCTGTCCCCACATCTCCACCATTGCTGTCCCCGCATCCCCATCGTTGTTCTCCCCACATTCCCATCATTGCTGTCCCCACATTCCCATCATTGCTGTCCCCACATCCCCATTGCTGACCCCACATTCCCATCACGGTTATCCCCTCATCCCGATCATTGGTGTTCCCCGTCCCCATCATTGCTGTCCCCGCAACCCCACCGCTGTTGTCCCCACATGGTTGTCCCCACATTGTTGTCCCCATGGTGTTGTCACCCTCCTGAAGTCCCTTCGTGGTGCCATCCTGGTGACCCCCATCTCCATCCCCTGCAGATCCTGAGCACGGTGGAGGCTCCTGGTGCTGCAGGGCCATCAGGCTGTGGCCCTGTCCCTGTTGCCGTCCCTGTGGTTGCAGTGGCAGCAGTGCCTAACGGTGTTCCCCCTGGCCCCCCTATGGCTGATGACAGCAAAACCAACCTGATTGTCAACTACCTACCCCAAAGCATGAGCCAGGAGGAGCTGCGCAGCCTCTTCGGCAGCCTTGGGGACATCGAGTCCTGCAAGCTTGTCCGTGACAAGGTCACCGGTATGGGGATGGGATCGGGAAACTCAGGGAGGTGAAAGATGGGAGCCCTTACACCCCATGGGGATCTGGGTGTTTGGGATTCCCCTATCCCACAAGGGTAGTGCTGTTCAGATGTGACTGTGGGGATGTCCCCACATCTCCATTGTGGCTGTCCCCACATTCCCATCACTGGTGTTCCCCATCCCCATCTTTGTTCTCACATCCCCATCACTGTCATCCCCACATCTCCATCATTGCTGTCCCCCACATCCCCATTATTGTCATTGAGGGATTCCCTTTGGCTGCCACTGAAGGGGTGTTGAGTCTCAGTGGCTCCGCCAGCAGCTCACTGGGGTGAATGGGGATAAGGATGGAGATGAAAGGGGCAGAATCAGCCCCCAGTCACTCACTCCCCCCTGCCCCAGGGCAGAGTTTGGGCTACGGCTTCGTCAACTACGTGGAGGCAGGCGATGCTGACAAAGCCATCAGCACTCTCAATGGCCTCAAGCTGCAGACGAAGACAATCAAGGTATCAAGGGGGTCTTTGGGGTGTTGGGAGGAGGGCTGAGGGCACAACGGGGTGGTTATACTGAGAGATCACGGGGAGGAGGGGACTCTGGCACCCAGCTGATGCCCACCTCAGGTGTCCTACGCCCGGCCCAGCTCGGCCTCCATCCGTGATGCCAATCTGTATGTGAGTGGCCTCCCCAAGGCTATGGGGCAGAAGGAGATGGAGCAGCTCTTCTCCCAGTATGGCCGCATCATCACATCCCGCATCCTCGTTGATCAGGTCACCGGTGCGCCCAAATACCTGGGTCCAAATTGCATGGAGGGGAATGCTGGGTGCCTGGGTACTCGTGGGTTTGTGGGGGAGGGCAAGTGGGGTGGGGGTTCCCAAAATTGGGTCCCTATGGACTTGTAGGAGAGGGCAAATGGGGTGAGGGTTCTCAAAATTGGGACCCCGTGGACTTCTGTGGGAGGGCAAAAGGCGTGGGGGGTTCCCAAAATTGGGTCCCCATGGACTTGTGGGGGGAGGGCAAATGGGTGGGGGGACCCAAAAGTGGGTACATATGGAGTTGTGGGGGAAGGCAAATGGAGTGGGGGTTCCCCAAATACTTGGGTTGCCATGGGGTGTGTGGAGCTTGAATCACTCAGGTCCCTTTGTAGTGTGGTGTGGGGCTGAATGGAGGTGGGGGGGGGGGTGGTCCTGAACACCTGGGACCCTATGGGGTGGGGGGCAGTGTGAATAGGCTTGATGGGGGTTCCCTAACATCTGGGTCCCCAGAAATGGGGGTTCCTGAGCATCTGGGTCCCCATGGGGTGCCTGGGTGGTCAGGAAGATCTTATGGAGTGGCAGAATGGGTTCTGAATGGTCTCATGGGTGGGCTTGCACAAGGGGGTTGCTGCCATGCCCCTCCCCATGCAGGTATCTCCCGGGGGGTGGGCTTCATCCGCTTCGACAAGCGTGTGGAGGCTGAGGAGGCCGTGAGGGGGCTGCACGGGCAGAAACCATTGGGGGCAACCGAACCCATCACAGTCAAGTTTGCCAACAGCCCTGGGCAGAAGTCAGGGGGGGCCCTGCTCAGCCTCTGCCCCGGTGCCCGCCGTTACAGCGCCCTGCATCACACCCCGCAGCGATTCCGGTGCGCCCTGAAACGTGAGGGGAGAAGGGGGGGCAGGGGAGGGGGAGTTGGGACTGGGGACATCTGGGGATGAGCCCTACAGAATGGCTGGGTTGAAAGGGACCTCAAAGATCTTGAAGCTCCAACCCCCCTGCTGCATGCAGGGCTACCAAGCTCCTTATCTAACACTGCACCAGGCTGCCCAGGGCCCATTCAGCCTGGCCTTGAACATCTCCAGGTATGAATGGGGCATCTCTCTGTCCATCTCAATACCTCTCTGACCATCTTTGTACTCTCCTCTGTACCCTCTCTATCAGCTCCCTTTCTTGTACTGGGGGCTCCAGACCTGGATGCAGTACCCCCGATAGGGCCTCAAAAGAGCAGAGTAGAAAGGGACCTCCCTGTCCCTGCTGGCCACCCCTCTTCTGATAGAGGGGTTAGTTAGATCCCTACAATATGGGGACAACTCTGTGATTGGGAAAAGGGGGAGGGGTAAGAGGAGGGAGGGGGCACCTCCTGCATGTAGGGACACCACTGTGCATGGATACCCCAACCCAGCCCACCGGGATCTAACTAACAGCCTCTCCTCTCCTCCAGCCTGGACAATTTGCTGAACGTGGCTTATGGTGTGAAGAGGTAAATCCTTCCCTCCCAGTCCTTCTCAGTTCTTTTTCAGCTCCCTCCCCCCACCCGCCCTGTGGAGGACCGTGTGGAGGGGTCCAGCTGTCCCTGACTCCAACCCAACCTGCTGTCACTGCTGTCCAGGTTCTCCCCACTGGCCATCGAGGCTGTACCAGGGCTGGGAGCTGGAGTGGGGCTGGGATCCCCAGGTTGGTGCATCTTTGTGTACAACCTAGCGCCTGAAACAGATGAAAGCGTCCTATGGCAGCTCTTCGGACCCTTCGGTGCCGTCACCAACGTCAAAGTCATCCGTGACTTCACCACCAACAAATGCAAGGGTTTTGGTTTCGTCACCATGACCAACTATGAGGAGGCTGCTGTGGCCATCGCCAGCCTCAACGGGTATCGCCTGGGCGAGCGCGTCCTGCAGGTCTCCTTCAAGACCAGCAAGCAGCACAAGGCCTGAAACCCACCTTTCCTACCCCTGGCACTTCACCTATGCCCCCCTCCCCCCCCATCCTCCCCCCAAAAAACCACAAACCCTCACTATGGGCTTCCAGAAACTGCTGGACCTCCCCTGAGCTGGGGGGGGGGCATTAAGGGTGGGGAGAGGGATGCATGCAAAGATTCTGCAGGGTATTCCTTCTCCCCTTCTCCCCCCAGCCCCACACACATCTGGGACACATCTGCAAAGAGTTTGAATGGGGAGGGGGGGTTGTGGGCGGTAACCCCACACTATTGGAATGTGGTGGGGCACTCACAGGCACTGCAGGAAACCTGGGGGAGGATTTTGGGGGGAAAGGCAGCACTCAAATTGGGGTACGTTGGGGGGGGGTCTCTCTACACCCTGGGTCGGTATCAGCCCCCCCCCCAACGGCTTGGCCACGCCCACAAAGGAGGTCACGCCTACCATGAAGGCATCCCACATAATGGCGGCCACGCCTACAACGGAGACCACGCCTACAAACCGAGGCCACACCCCCCGAACGGAGGTCACGTCCCCATACCCTTTAGCCACGCCCCCGTTAGAGGCGCTCTTTGGCGGTGGCCGGACCACTGCAGCAGTGCCGTGGGGCCAGGAGTTCGAATCCCGGCTCTGGCTGCTTTCCCCACTTCCCTCCCTCGAGCCCCAACCACCCCAAATTCGGCTTTTTTTGTCACCAAACTGGTGCCAAAATAGAGGCCACACCAACCCTTCCCTGCTCTCCCTCCTGTTTTTATTCATGTTCTTGTCCCCTCTGGGGGGAGAGGTGGGAGGGCAGAAGGATAATTAATAATAATAATGGTAGCGTTAACAGTAGAGAAATGAGAGGCCAAGGGAGCGAGCAGCAGCTCCTTGGCACGACAGACACAAAACCATCTATTTTTGTAAGAGAAGAAAAAAAAAAAATCCAAAAAAATACCCCAATACTCCAACCCTTTCTTGACACTGCACTTCTATGGGAGGGGGGGGGGAACTGAGTGGGACCCTTTGCCTCATAGAGGGGTCACGGGGAGAGGTTGTGTGGTGATTGGGAGCAATGGGGTGGCTTCAAGGAGGTTCTGATCACCCAACCAATTCCCAGGGCTGTGATTTCTGCTTGGCTGGTTCTGACCTCTGGGGCAAAGCAGCACCCCTCCAGTTTCCTCCCCCATGACTCCTATTATTATTGTTCTGGCTATTGTTCTGATTATTATTATTGTTGTTTCTATTATTAATTATGATAATTATGATTGCTATTCCCATTATTTATTTTTCCTTCAGGATGGCTCTGTGCTTTTTTTGCCCTTTGGTTCCCATTTTATTCTAGCTCTGATTCTGCCTCCACCACCCCTTGGCCCTACTTTGTGTTGCGTTGCTCTCATTTTCCCCACTCAGCTCAACCTTTTCCCTTGCCCGGGGCTGCAGAACCCTTCAAACCCCAGGCTGTAGGGACCCCCAAAAAGCAATAAGAGCTGCACCCACTGTGGGGGGTCACTACCTGGGTCCTCCCTCTGCTATTTGTTTTGAGGAGGAGAAGCCCCAAAATGAACACTCATGGGTGCAAGGAAGGTCCCCCTGCTGAGTGACCCCCCCCTCCCCCTCCATCTCAGACACTTTGTATTTTTCATGGCAGAAATAATAAAACATGAAAAAAAAAGTTCAAAACAATGAGAACTTGTGTATCTTTGTTCTACATCAGGAGATGAAAATATGCACCCAATGCAGTGTTTGTATTGAACAGAGAAGGATTTAAGCTGGTTATTGGTAATTTCAGGATGAAAATGCAGATTATAAGTCATTATGTGGCTGATGGCTGTTGATGTAGTCTATCTAGATTTCAGCAAAGCCTTTGACACTGTCTCCCACAATACTCTCCTGCAGAAGCTGGCAGCCTGTGGCTTGGACAAATACACTCTTGGCTGGATAAGGAACTGGCTATAGGGTCAGGCCCAGAGAGTGGTGGTGAACGGAGCTAAATCCAGCTGGCAACTGGTACTGTTCCCCAGGGGTTGGTGCTGGGGCCTGTCCTCTTCAGTATCACAGAATTACAGGATGGCAGGGTTGGAAGGGACCTCAAGGATCATGAATCTCCAACCCCCTGCCACAGGCAGGTCCATCAACCTCCCCATTTAATACTAGACCAGGCTGCCCAGTGCCCACAGGCTGTATAGCTGGGCTGAAGCCAACGGGATGAGGTTCAACATGACCAAATGCCGGGTCTTAC